TGTTTCACTTAAGTACCTATAAGTTTAACTTAGTAACTTGCTTGTTTTATTTAATAACTTATCCGTTTCACTTAATAACATCTTTGTTTCAGTTAATAACTTATCCGTTTCACTTAAGTACCTATAAGTTTAACTTAGTAACTTATTTGTTTTATTTAATAACTTATCCGTTTCACTTAATAACATCTTTGTTTCATTTAATAACCTATTCGTTTCACTTAATAACTTTTTTTTTCACTTAATTACCTATCCGTTTCGTTGCAAATTTCTGTACTTCGATTGGAAACGACGTACCGAGCTGCAAATGAAGCTGACCTTAATACTTTAGTTAACAAATCAGATTCATGAATTACAAAAACCTCACTGATTAAAACACCTCCTACGGATCAGCGGTAAGTCTGAGGGTTTATCACGCTAAAAATCGGGTTTTGACAACTACGGTGAACCTTTGCGCTTTAGATTATTTAAATCATTGAAATGCTGTTTGTTTGTAATTAAGCACAAAGCTACAAAATGGGCTATCTATGCTCTGCCCACCACGGGTATCGTAACCCGGATTCTAGCGTTCTAAGTCTGCAGACATGCCTCTGTGCCACTGGGGGGCTGAAATGCTGTTAAGGAAATATTTTTAATAACAAAATGATACCATGATTTTTGGTTTATTTGGTATATAGTAATAAAGTCAAATACCGTCTGGCAAAATGTATCTCGATGACAAGGTTAGTCACACTGACTGGTAAAATTTGACCGTCACTCTTATAACACATCGATGGCCCCAAAGTGCGGAGGGCGAATTTTTTTTTTTTTTTTTGTTGGTAACAGGGCGCGGACAACGGAACACCACATTCACAATCCTGTAAGCTGATCACTGACTTGGCAAATGGTATCTCGATGACAAGGTTAGTCACACTGACTGGTAAAATTTGACTGTCACTCTTATAACTCATCGATGGCCCCAAAGTGCGGAGGGCGAATTTTTTTTGGTGGTAACAGGGCTCGGACAACGGAAAACCACATTCACAATCCTGTAAGCTGATCACTGACTACCGTGATCGATCATTGTTTGTTTAATTATAAATGGTTTAAAATAATTTGTAGGCCCAGCTTTATTGTTATCTTTCTTAAAAGTATACTTGCATTGTCGTGTGCAATGTTTAGTAGAGCGAAGTTAAAAGCCTGACATAACAATGCAATATTTTAAACTGCTCTGTGGTTTTATATTGTAATTACTTGCAGTGGCCTTAGATATGTCATATTTAGGAACTAGGTCAAATATTTTATCTGAATCAAATTCAAAATCAAAGTAAAAAGTAGCGACCGAACTCAAGTCCGACCCACAGGATTATTTGCTACAATTGTTAATTAAGCCTTACAAATTCAAAATCAAAGTAAAAAGTAGCGACCGAACACAAGCCTGACCCACAAGATTATTTGCTACAATTGTTAATTAAGCCTTACAAATTCAAAATCAAAGTAAAAAGTAGCAACCGAACTCAAGTCTGACCCACAAGGTTATTTGCTACAATTGTTAATTAAGTCTTACAAATTCAAAATCAAAGTAAAAAGTAGCAACCGAACACAAGTCTGACCCACAAGATTATTTGCTACAATTGTTAATTAAGCCTTACAAATTCAAAATCAAAGTAAAAAGTAGCAACCGAACACAAGTCTGACCCACAAGATTATTTGCTACAATTGTTAATTAAGCCTTACAAATTCAAAATCAAAATAAAAAAGTAACGACCGAACACAAGTCTGACCCACAAGATTATTTGCTACCATTGTTAATTAAGCCTTACAAATTCAAAATCAAAATAAAAAAGTAGCGACCGAACACAAGTCTGACCCACAGGATTATTTGCTACAATTGTTAATTAAGCCTTACAAATTCAAAATCAAAGTAAAAAGCAGCGACCGAACTCAAGTCTGACCCACAGGATTATTTGCTACAATTGTTAATTAAGCCTTACAAATTCAAAATCAAAGTAAAACGTAGCGACCGAACACAAGTCTGACCCACAGGATTATTTGCTACAATTGTTAATTAAGCCTTACAATCTGTATACTCGTACCGTTTGTTGTACCGTTGAAATTTTAACTATCAAAATTTTCTTTATTTTAAGAAGTCGTAGATTACTTAACGCTGCCATTATCAAAAACTACAATATTTGATCTAAATTTAGATATTTCTTAGTTATTTTAATAGTTGAACGCTATTTTGTTTGGTATGTATTTGAACAATTACCGTTTGTAACGTAAGAACGATGAAAATAAAACCAGTGTATTCGAATAATTGTTAGTGATATTCCACCCAACTGGTGGTCCTTACTTAGAAGCAGAATAAGAAGCTGCTGTAGTTGATGAAATAAAAATATCTTGCGAAACGTTTGGGGGAAGGATACAAAGATTTATCTGTTTACATCTTAATATATTTCCATTTAACCTTGTAGTTATCATCTGTTTAGCATTAGAACAAGTAATCTATTTAAACATCTAATTGATAATTCAATGCCTCCCAGAATAAGTTCAGTTAATGTATTGTTTTGTTTCGACAGAAAGTATAAGGAGTTAAATCACCATACAGTTGATGTTAGATGTAAGCCTACAATAGAATAATCCGGTACAATCTGTATGTGGCCGCATCAACTTAATTTATCGAAGCTCAGAGTTTCAATGGATCAAATGCTTAAAAAGTGAAATAAAATTTTTGGTATGTACTGGATGTACTTGCGCGTGGTGACAGAAAGAGTTCTGTTTCAAGGGTTAATAAAACCGAAATTAAGAGCAACAAATATTGTTTTTCTTGCTTTTGGAGTTTACCTTGTTGTACTCTACAGAGTGCATAATTCTTCTCGTGATTCATGGCATACACACGTTTTACTGACGTCACGAGAGTACAAATTGCAACGTTAAACGTCCCTTATGTGACGTCATTTTAGTGTCTACTGATTGACTGACAGACAACACCCTAGGGTATAGTGGTGCGAGTGGTTAAAACAGGTGACCCCCTCCAGGCGGCCTTCGGCCCCCCTTTTGGGGAAATGATTGAATCATTTACATATGTATACGTCATTACTGGCAATAGTTAAAAGAAACGTGACATTACTCGTGTAAAATGGTTCAATGAGAGCGAATATTCAATTCCCTTAATGTTATAAAATAAACATCAACAGAATGGAATATAACCTTTATCTCAAATTTCTTGAGGATATTTTTGTTCTAAACATCTCGTTTGTTTGTAATTAAGCACAAAGCTACACAATGGGCTATATCTATATTCTAGCGTTGTAAGTCCGCAGATATACCGCTGTGCCACTGGGGGGGGGGGCTAAACATCTCGTCCATATATGAATGAAACTGGAGATGATGCAATCCGAAATAATTAACAGAGTAATTCAAGGGGGCCGTTTTATAGTCCATCTTCAACTTCTCTCTCTCTTTTTTTTTTTAGTTCATAACTACACAATGGGATATCTGCGCTCTGTTTAGTGCTGGTAATCGGAACCCGGATTATAGCGTTGTACATTTTATACTCAGACATTACTACAATAAAAGAGGTTTAGCGTTGTACATTTTATACCCAGACATTACTACAATAAAAGAGGTTTAGCGTTGTACATTTTATACTCAGACATTACTACAATAAAAGAGGTTTAGCGTTGTACATTTTATACCCAGACATTACTACAATAAAAGAGGTTTAGCGTTGTACATTTTATACCCAGACATTACTACAATAACAAAGAGGTTAAGCGTTGTACATTTTATACCCAGACATTACTACAATAAAAGAGGTTTAGCGTTGTACATTTTATACCCAGACATTACTACAATAACAAAGAGGTTTAGCGTTGTACATTTTATACCCAGACATTACTGCAATAAAAAAAGGTTTTAAAATGTCGCATGAGGTAGTGGTATTATCAGATTTTATTGTTCGTGTTTGTGTCATTCATTTCATAATTACAATTTTTGCAACAAGATATAACACACACAAAGTTTATTCATCTTTATGTTTCAGAAATACAAAAGTTGACGAAGCTTCTAAATCCAACATTTGTGTTCAATACATATATCTTTAAGAGCTTGATCACTAGGGGAAAAACACACTTAGAGTTTCAAGAAATGAAATACGAAAATTGATTATTTATTTCTTTATTTACCCAAGAAATGGAATCCCATCACATTTTGCGTTTGTTTTCAGTTGGATGAAATTTTTTTAACTACTATTGTTCTTGAATGATTCCAGAAAATTAAAGACATTCCTGCTCAGATTCGATGATTTAATGGCTGAAAAAGAACAAAAAAAAATTCTCAGTAATTTCCTTAACAATAGAAACTTGATTTTGAAATAACAAAATAATTCATATTTGTTTTATATTATTTTGCACAGAAAAGTCCTAACTAATACTCCATTTTGTTAAGATCATCATACAATAGCAGAAGAGATAGAACTTTTACTAGTATGAAAATATCTGTCAAGAAACGTTAAAAAATTAACTCTCTTTCTCGTACAATATATTTGTGCTAATATACGAAACGAAATTGTTTCAGATGACTCTCAAAAGTAAATCCTAAATTTGAAACGTTTTATATCCGGTATTACTATTTTATTGTCTGACATGATATAAATGACAAACATTTACGTAAAATATTTGTTGGAACATTTCATTGTACGAGTTCAATGGAATTACTTACTCTAACAATGAGAAGATGACATTGTTTCCACTCATTTCTTTCCATATCGGTTATAATAGTTATCATATGGATAACCACCAAGACCGTATCTGCCATAGCCACTATATCTATTGTAACCGCCGTATATGTCATTGTCCCCGTATCCACCGTAGCCGCCGAATCCAATGTAGTCACCAGATCCACCACTACCATAGCCGCCGTAACCACCGTAGCCACCATAACCACCACCTCTACCATAGCCGCCGTAACCACCGTAGCCACCATAACCACCACCTCTACCGTAGCCGCCGTAACCACCGTAGCCACCATAACCACCACCAATACCATAGCCGCCGTATCCACCATAACCACCACCACTACCATAGCCGCCGTAACCACCGTAGCCACCATAACCACCACCACTACCGTAGTCGCCGTAACCACCGTAGCCACCATAACCACCACCACTACCATAGCCGCCGTAACCACCACCAATACCATAGCCGCCGTAACCACCATACCCTCCATATCCACCACCGTAGCCTCCTAAGCCACCATAACTATAGCGATCGTTACAATAGTCACCATAGCGACATCCATATTGGCTATATCTACCAGAACTTTCTGGATACCCATAATTGGATCCTCCATAACGGTTATACCTGTTCGAGTAATGATCATAGCGGTCGTTGTAGTGCGCTGAACATGCTACTACTAGCACAGCTAACAGTGTGAAGACGATCATCTAAAACAAACAAAAACAATAAAAATACGTTCATTAAAGGCACTGCAGACCCTTCTTCTTCCGTCTAGCTGCTCTCTCAAGCCTGATGTTGTCTTCTAAAACAAACAAAAACAATAAAAATACGTTCATTAAAGGCACTGCAGATCCTTCTACTTCCGTCTAGCTGCTCCCTCAAGCCTGATGTTGTCTTCTAAAACAAACAAAAACAATAAGAATACGTTCATTAAAGGCACTGCAGATCCTTCTACTTCCGTCTAGCTACTCCCTCAAGCCAGATCTTGTCTTCTAAAACAAACAAAAACAATAAGAACACGTTCATTAAAGGCACTGCAGATCCTTCTACTTCCGTCTAGCTGCTCCCTCAAGCCAGATGTTGTCTTCTAAAACAAACAAAAACAATAAAAATACGTTCATTAAAGACACTGCAGATCCTTCTTCTTCCGTCTAGCTGCTCTCTCAAGCCAGATGTTGTCTTCTAAAAGAAACAAAAACAATAAAAATACGTTCATTAAAGGCACTGCAGATCCTTCTACTTCCGTCTAGCTGCTCTCTCAAGCCAGATGTTTTCTTCTTAAGCAATACTCTTACGGAAAATATTTAAACAAAAAAAAGACCATTTTGTGAGAGAGTATTTCTTTGAAATAAAACATCATTACATGACTTATTTAAATTTAGATTTCTTATTGTTTTACATGAAGGTAGTTTATGCGGTATTAAAAAGTAATGAATAATTCCAATGTTGATTAGTTTCGTTAATCATAGCAAATAGAAAGTATCTTTATAAAATGTTCGTATTTAGTTTCCCTTACATTACAGAACTGCTACTGTAGAGAATATGCAAAAATATGTTTCTTTGAACACGTTGTTAGTGATAGATATGGTTAAACAAAGCAGAACAAAACGTCTTGGTAACGTCTTTTACTTTATGTTGTAAATATGTTTCTTTGAACACGTTGTTAGTGATAGATATGGTTAAACAAAGCAGAACAAAACGTCTTGCTAACGTCTTACCAAGACGTTTTGTTCTGCTTTGTTTAACCATATCTATCACTAACAACGTGTTTAAAGTAACATATTTACAACATAAAGTAAAACTTACCAAGACGTTTTGTTCTGCTTTGTTAAACCACATCTATCACTAACAACGTGTTTAAAGTAACATATTTACAACATAAAGTAAAAGTTTTACTTTATGTTGTAAATATGTTACTTTAAACACGTTGTTAGTGATAGATATGGTTAAACAAAGCAGAACAAAACGTCTTGGTAAGTTTTACTTTATGTTGTAAATAGAAACGATCTAAGAAAGTGCTTGGTCTTATAGCTTCTGCAGTATTAACATAAATATATCGTTTAGACTTACATTGGTATATTGAAACTGTACAGCGAATTGGTTGTTTTTTTTAGCGAAATAACACTATTTATTAGTTAATAGTTTGATTAAATAATACCTAATATAGACAAGCACTTAAGGATTTTATATAAATAAACAAATATATATATATATGTATATATATTTCTTGTTTGTGATTTCAAATGACACCAAGTTATTTCATTCAATTAATTAAAAAAACAATCACTAAATAAACAAAAGATGAAGCGGCTGACAAGATCTTATACTTAACATCAGGCCAAGATTTACGTTTTTTCCAGAATAGCTTCGAATATTTAATGTGTTTTTTAGTACTTTCATATCCGTAAAGTTTATGTGAAAATGTTTAGATTCAGAAATAATTTTAGAGTTTATTACCTAGTTAACAAAGGTGTTTAATGTAATAAAAGCCTTCAACAAAATATGCTCGTGTCTGAAAACGCTGATAAATATCATTAAGAAGGAGAGAGACGGGCCTGGTTGTCTATAACAGCAAGTCAACCCCACCTTATTTTTAATTTTTCCTTTCGTGTAAAAATAGCCTTTTAGATCTAAGAAGCTTTTCGTGCAATACCATTTGGGCTGGACGATTAGAGACAAAAAGAGTCTTTCAAACACTAATTTATGTATGCAGTATAATACTTGAAATTTACGGGTTAAACACCTAAAGCCCGTTTTGGAAACCAATAGGCCAAAAAATTCTATAAAGATCAAATTAATCACAGATGTTTTCTTTTTCTTATTCTTTTTAATTTGTTCATTGCAGCTCAGAATCATTTAATTTGTTCATTGCAGCTCCAAATCAGAGGTGTTTAAATGTGGGAGACAAAAATAGACCTGAAATGATATTTTTGCACCTCTCGGGAAAATTAAGAGGAATATGAAAAAAAACAAAAAACATTGAAGTTAACTACATTTTGATAACAATTTTAAGATTTTTTATTGGGCTACTATTTTATAAACCATTAACCGTCACATTATAACGCTCCCACGGCTGAAAGGGCGAGCATGTCTGATAGGACGGGGTTTCGAACCCGCGACCTTCAGATTGGTAGTCAAGCGCCCTAACTACCTGGTCATGTCGGCCCTGGAAACAAAAATGAAGAGAAACCCAATCTTCATAATTGGTTTGATATAAGTAGCAAATAATTAATAAATCATTTTGTTCCATAAGTATGAATAGTTAGACACAACACAACAACATCGAGGAAGTCAATACATCTTTTGTTTAACTATAAAGTTGTGACTAGTTAAAAAACGTAATTATTTCTTTAACGAGGAGGAAAAATTAATATATTTCAAACATGCATATTGCACTTTCAAAAATCATATATAACAATCTTTACCAAAATACAGCGTTTGATGAGACCTCATTATACTGGAAAGGTTGAAATAATATTCAAAATCAAGGTTCTATCTTACAAAATATTTATAACTGAAAATATACACAAAGACAATAATGAAAACATCTGTATTGGAATAAGAAAGGTAATGGAATAAATCTGTATGAAAATAAAGACTACAATGGGGTAGCTCAAGTGTGAAATTAAGAATATAATGAGATAGATCAAGTGTGAAATTAAGAATATGATGAGATAGATCAAGTGTGAAATTAAGAATATGATGAGATAAATCAAGTGTGAAATTAAGAATATGATGAGATAGATCAAGTGTGAAATTAAGAATATGATGAGATAGATCAAGTGTGAAATTAAGAATATAATGAGATAGATCAAGTGTGAAATTAAGAATATGATGAGATAAATCAAGTGTGAAATTAAGAATATGATGAGATAGATCAAGTGTGAAAATATAGACTATGATGAGATAAATCAACTGTAAAAATAAATATTATGATGAGATAAATCAAGTGTGAAAATATAGTCTATGATGAGATAGATCAATTGTAAAAATATAGGCTATGATGAGATAGATCAATTGTAAAAATATAGACCATGATGAGATAGATCAACTGTAAAAATAAATACTATGCTGAGATAAATCAAGTGCAAAAATATAGTCTATGATGAGATAGATCAATTGTAAAAATATAGTCTATGTTAAGATAGATCAATTGTAAAAATATAGATTATGATGAGATAGATCAATTGTAAAAATATAGTCTATGATGAGATAGATCAATTGTAAACATATAGACTATGATGAGATAGATCAACTGTAAAAATAAATACTATGATGAGATAGATCAATTGCAAAAATATAGTCTATGATGAGATAGATCAAGTGTGAAAATAAAGATTACAATGGGGCAACTCAAGTGTAAAAATAAAGATTACAATGGTATCGCTATGCCAAAATATTATTATTTTATTCCTTTTGCATTAGGCCAGGCATGGCCAGGTGGTTAGGGCACTCGACTCGCAATCTGTGAATCGCGGGTTCGAATCCCTGTCCCACCAAACATGCTCACCCTTTCAGCCGTGGGGGCGTTATAATGTGACGGTCAATCCCACTATTCGTTGGTAAAATAGTAGCCCAAGAGTTGGCGGTGGGTGGTGATGACTAGCTGCCTTTCCACTGCTAAATTAGGGACGGCTAGCGCAGATAACCCTCGTGTAGCTTTGCGCGAAATTCAAAAACAAACAAACCTGTTGCATTAAAATCTAAAACCAGTTTAATGTAATACTGAAAATATATTCAAAATCTTAAAGAAAAAGTTGTGCAAAAACATCTTTTATTTTTCTTACACATAAATCTTTTGTATTAATTATTACTTTTCAGGATGAGTTGTTTGTCAGGCTTACCTGTAAAATCCCCAGTTGTTTGGAAACTAGGCCTGGCGATTGTGTTTTGTGTAAAGTAAGATAAGTAAGAATCTATAATATATAAATAATGTTATAAAGATAATCATCGTTTAACGCAAATGAAATTTTTGACTACTGAAAGATTCATTTTCATAAGGATCTTTTTTTTTCAAATTAAATTTGTTTAGTGAGTAAATTCAATAAATGTTGTTGTTTGTAGTTAAGCACAAAGTTACACAAAGGGCTATCTGCGCTCTGCCCACCATAGGTATCAAAACCTGGTTTCTAGCAATATAAGTCCGCAGACACACCGTTGTGCCGCTGGGTGGTAAATTCAGTAGAAGGAACTTTACTGTTCATGCTATGTTATTTTTCTTGTAAAATTTGTAAAAAAAAAACTATTCCGCTAATAAAATTGTGAATTTTCATGATTTGTTTTGCTTCATAATTCAAACATATAACTCATTTTTAATTACACTGTTCTGCTTAACAATGCAACCTTATCTTTCAGTTTAATTTTACCGTACTGTTTAACAATGCAACCATATATATTGAATTTTAATTTAATTGTTCCTTTTAACAATGCAATGTTATCTTGCATTTTAAATTTACTGTTCTGCTTAACAATACAACTTCGTATTTTATTTTAATTTTAAGATTGTGTTTCACAAGGTGACCTTATTATCTTGCACTTACATCTCACAAGTAAATATTTTCTCAGGTTTTTCAGATTGGTTGTGATAGGTTTGTTTTTGTTTAATGCAAAGCTACACAATTGAGTACATTCACTGTATCTGCCATGAGGATCAAAAATCCTAAATTCAATGCTAGAATCTCTCTGACTTATCGCTGAACAAGCAGGGGATTGTTGTGAAGAGGCTTATAAACGAGCCCAGTAAAAAAATGATATGTCTGTTTAAATAGTTATATAAATATATATATATATATATATATATATATATATA